CGAAGCGAGGCGGGATTTTGTGGGGTTGGGGGGGGGGCAGTGCTGGGACCGGAGCGGGGCGCCACTGGGACGGGGGGAGCTACAGAGGGGGATTTCCCAGGGCCGGGGGGAGCACCCCAGTGAATGAGGGGGGAACCTGGGCCAGGGAGCGTAGCAAAGTGGGGGGCGGTCTCCAGGGAGGGAGCCGGGCGGTCACTGGGGCGCCTCTGCCATCAGCATCGTGCTGATGCACCTGCCCCTCTATGCACAGCTCCTTGTAGCCCCCTGCCCGCACAGCTGGGGGAGCCCCCTCTCCTGGGCTCGCTGAGCCCCTCCGACGCACGGCCGCGCCTGCCAGGGACATGTCCAGCTGCCCCTCCGCCTACATTCAGTATTTTCAGCTTGCGATGGGCACTTACCCAGCGGGCTCTGTTCAAAAAGGTGCCGAGTTGCTACCTGCTCAAATTCTCTCCCCATATCCTATGATGTCGCTATTAATGGCTGGAAGTGTATGTATTAACTTTCATAGTGGCTTTAGGTAAAAGCCATTTATCTTAGGACACTTAAAACCAACTGTCTTGACTAACAGCTTCTCTAAGGCCTTGTCTTCATGGGGGGGGGGGTGAGGAGGGGACGTATGTTCTTAACTGGAGGTAACATTCTAGGGAAGATGAGGTAATTTGTAGTTCTCATATAGCTTAGCAGTTAGACTAGGCTCTCCCAGAACTCAATCTACTAACTCATGAAAACTGCCTCATCTTCACAAGGATTTTATCTTGTTAACTAGCTCAAGCTAAGAACATGCTTTTTTTCTTTTTTGTAGCTAGGACAGGGCTCCAGAGAGCTGGGAAGAAGTGCCTGGCTTCTAAAATCTGTAACAGCCTCCATAATAAAGATTTTAATTCTCTTTCAGAATGCGTTACGTTGCAGCTTATCTTCTGGCTGTCCTAGGGGGCAACGAGTCCCCTGCTTCAAAGGACTTGAAGAAGATTCTCGACAGTGTAGGCATTGAGACGGATGATGAACGCCTGAACAAGGTGACAATGCAGTAACTGATAGTGTAATACCCAAATGGGAGCCACTTCTGTATTCACTTGGCTCTGAATCTTATCTTATTAATCCAAGGGGTATTAAAAATATTTGTTTCTTTCCAAGTATGGGTATGTATGTTGTTATGGTCTCAAGTGCCAATTGCCCAATAAAAAGTATTTGGGCGTAGCATTTCTGTAGATCTCAGGTTCTCTTATTTACAAAAGTTCAGACTGAATAACCTCACTGGACAGAGCTAATACAAGTTGTTTCTAACTGATAGGTCTCTGTAATTAAAGAGACAGCTGGGTGATATCCTGGAGCTGACATGGCTACAACTACACTGCATACAACAGGGTCTACCTGATGGCTCTTATCAGAGGCTAGTAGTTGCCTGGTTAGTGGTCGCCAGTGGCAAAAAAAATTCCAGTGAGATGTAGTGTTCAATTTGCAGTTATGCACAGTCTCAAAATAAATGGATATAATTCTAGTGGCGGGTTACACTTTTCTCGCAAAAGGCAGAACATAAGAGTGGTCCCTCCAGCCCAATATCCTGTCTTCCGACAGTGGCCAATGCCAGGTGCCCCAGAGGGAATGAACAGAACAGTTAATCATCAAGTGATCCATCCCTGTTGCCCATTCCCAGTTTCTGGCAACATTATTGCATTACATTTATGAGGTGCCAAGTGTATACACAGCATTTTCCATAAAACATACAAGTCCTTGTTGCTGCTACAAGGGACATACGTCAGATATCAGGGGGTAGCCATGTTAGTCTATCCACAAAAACAATGAGGAGTCCGGTGGCACCTTAAAGACTTAATAGATTTATTTGGGCATAAGCTTTTGTGGGTAAAAAAACCCACTTCAGATGCATGGAGTGAAAATTACAGATGCAGGCATTATTATACTGACACATGAAGAGAAGGGAGTCAAATAGTCATACATAGAGTTTGAAGCCAGAAGAGACTACTATATCATCTAGTTGGACGTCCTGTATATCAGAGGCCACTAATACAAGCTGGCCACTCGCACACTAAACCTAACAACTGGAATTAGACCAAAGTATTACAGCCCTCAGGAGACAAACTATTGTGTGCCACATGCAGAGCATAGGAGACACTGAGGTGGACCAATGTATGAGACCCCTGCAATGGCATGGAAGTAAATGAGATATACCCAGATGATATAACATCTAGGAAAAAACAGACAAGATTCTGCAGGGTTAGTGTCAGCGAAGGGAGATTTAAATACTTCTCAATGTGGTGGAGCTTTCATTCTTTGTGTGTGTTTTAAAGGGTGTTGAAAAGAAAACAATTGATTAAATTCTGTAATATTTTTTTCCACTAAGAAATCATCTTATTTGCAGACACTGTGTGTCATATATTACAAGAGATGCATTAAGAGAGATGATATTGGGGAAACTAGGTTTTTCAGATGGATAGTTGTAATCTTCAGAAAGCCAACCAACAGAGTGGTTAGTTCTGTGCAACCAGAATCCATGCAGTACTAGGATATAGTTCTCCACTCTGAAATAGAGGTTCTTATTCTGTTGTGTGTTTCAAATTGACACTTTTTTTTATTATGGTTTCCAGGGCCTTCATAAACTCTTTCACTGATCATCCCTTTCCCACAATGTTACGTTGGAATTTGTTCTTGTCATCATTGACTTATCTGTATTTGTTAACACTGACCGGATCTTACTCCAATATAACTCTAGAGGACTCTTCAAACGCACCTTTCAGAGTAAATAAACACAAACACAACAATTCATATATTGCATGCTTCACTTGAGCAGGAGATTAGTTGTTGAAAAATGTTGTTTAGATATGTTGCTATCGCTGAGCTGCAATGTACTTTTGACATTACAGTTCCTATCTTTAGAATCTTGCCTCCATTGGTTTGTGACTCTCCATTATCCTGCACTGCTATCCAATAGCTGAAACACACCTGGAGAAGCTGCAGCACCCTTGACCTTTAATGCTTGTTTCTGAGGTGGTAGCAGTTTGTTTTCCTGTTTAATCGTTCCCAGCCTGGACTCCAACTTTGATAGTAAAATTTCCATTCCAGTGAAAAGCTTAGGGTTAGGTTCCTGGTTAGCATAGGACTCTGAGGGGGAAGAACATGCAAGCTGCCTGGAGCCGTGCTCTTTCTGCGCCAGGCAGGGCTGA